CAATGGCTCGTGCCTGCTGCCAACAGCTTGATCATGCACGTTTCTGAGCTGAGGTCAAGTACACATGCGTTTGTAGAAGCAAGGCCACACGTATGCTCACATTCTAGAAGAGCAGCGTATTTTACAGTTCTTTCATATATTGATTTAGAAAGGCTCTTAATGCTTTTGTCTCATTTTATACAAAGGTTACAATCTAGTAAATAGGAAGTAAAACTAAGATTTTTGGTTCTATTTTCATTGGAGAAAAATCTAACCCACTCCAAGATAAAACATGTCTGCTATGCAGAAACTTGTCTGCAAGCTACTCTTCATAGAAGAAGCTGTTATGTGAAGGAAGTTTCTGTAAAAATAGAAAGTGCACCATGCACACAGAGTGCTTTGTAAAGGTAATAGTGCAAGAAAGCTGGAGATCTTCCTTTTGCTCATTTTTTAGTCTCTCTACAGAGAAATTTTTCCCACCTCTGGAAAGAAAAACCAGAACAGAACATAGCATGATACAGTGAAATATATACATTTAAGTCTAAGCCAGTGGAAATGGAAAATACCTATCAAAGGACCGATTGTGAGAAGTCACTCTGTTGCCTTGGATCTCTCTGGTCAGATGCCACATGACAGAGAATCTGAACAGTGCTTCCAGCCTTGTCCCCTTTGCAAGGAAACAAGACAGAGACATATTTTTTGCAGCATTTATCTCTGAATAAAATTTTTGTGATTTTTAAACCTCTAGTAGATGACTGCTTATCCTTCTCAGATAGTCTGAGAGCATTTTTCTATTTTGCAATAGACTAAACCAAAACGCCACATATCCGTGGATGCACAACCAAAACTTAACAGCCGCAGTGTTTGCAGCAGCAAAAAAGACGTGCCAATACACCAAAAATGTATTCCAAGACTCTTGTGTATAAATATTTTAGACTTGTTCTGGTGTTAGGGAGTTTTAAAAGTTAGATGACAAACAGGAAGACATTGGTATATTAGGCAGTGTTTATTATTGGTAATTTCCTTTGAAAGCTTTTAGAAGATTTCCAAACTTAAGTTTCAGTATTGCAAGAGCAAAGATACGAAAACAATACCAAAGACCGAAGGTGGCTGTTTTAAGTTTTATTGTGCAAGGCACTTCTCGCAAACATAATGTAAGTTATTAAAAAACTGTTCTGTCATTAAGCTAGGTAAGTAAAATAATTAATAACTGGCTCACTTAAAATAGAGCTTACTTATTATGAGAACTTAATACTAAGGCAGACACAAGGTCAACATGATGTTGACATACACTTAAGGGTGAGGTAATAGAGTCTTTTGTTGGAATATGAAATTTACAAAGTCAACACAAAATAAAAAGATTTTGGAGTTATTGGTGGAGCTGGGTCAGTTTGAAAATATGGACAAAAACTGCAAGTTTTTAGATACTACATGATTTGGGCTGAAACTAAAAAGGCTCCAGCATTGACTGATACAGCTTGCGTCCAGGGATTAAGTTTAGCAGTAGTCCCATGACAAATAAATCCCAGGGAACTGTAAAGGCGTGGACAGAGTCTGTCAGACTCTTGGAAGACAGAGGGACCATGAGAGTGAAGACATGGGGTGGACGGGAACGGGAGGCAGTCTGCAAAGCAATGGAACAACTCTAGAGTGATGAAGAAGCTTCAGTGAATACAAGACTTACTTTATCACAATCCAAAAGCGCATGGCAGATAATGCCTTCGCAGATATTTGCTGATGGTGCCAAGCAGTGCAGCCTGTAGAACAATTCCACACAGGCAATATGGTGCTCCCGTGTCTCTTTGTTTAGCTGATTCCAGAGCACACAGGCTACTCTCTAGGGAAAAATGAATAATAATAATAATGATGATGATGATGATAATAATAATAATGTTGCCATTTATTCCCTGACTCAAAAGCTTTTCATTGCATAAGTGCCCTCTATTACCAAAAGGGATTTCCAAATCATCTTAGTTTAGCAAAGAGCCAGAATTCAGGTCATACACTCAGACTTAAAGGAATGCAACTTTCCTACCCTAGTAGGATAGGTCATGCAAATGTACACGCATCAGAAGTTAAAACAAACCCCAACATTTCTGCTTCTAGTTTCTGGGCCAAAGCTTAACAGACTGTGCAGATGTCACACACAGCAATTGGAAATACAGTAATTAAGAAAAAGATCTTGGAACCAACCCCCATACCAACACCAATATCAATAAATAGTCAGGAGGAGTCAAGCATCTTTGAAATATATATTTAAGGGGAAAGGAATGCTTTCGTTGTTATTCACCCACTAACATTTTTTTCTTGTCTGAAAACTTTGAGTGGTATCAAAGTACTCTGAAGTGTAGCTTTCAAGCTAATGAAACCAAACCCTTCAGTCAGAAATCAACTATACCTACCCGCCAAGAATTTGGGCACAAAAATCTGCTAGCATTTTGAAAGTAACCTCCCACTTTTGAACATCCTGTTGGGAAGCACATGAAGATGAATGCAATTCCTTTCAAATGCTTGTGGAAGCAAAAAAAGGTCAGTGCATCATTGCAACACAAAGATGCTGCCCCCAAGCATCCATGCAGGTAACATTTGCTTTCCCGCCCCATCCTTAGGGGTTCAGTGAAGTTGGGGAGAAGAAAGAAAAAAAATTGACACCTGGTAGAAATCTGTTTTCTCTGAGATGATCTTTAGAACTCCAGGCGCAATGGGAGGAAGGGTGACCATCTGCAGCTTTCCAAAGAAAGGGTTGTGGCCAGACACTTTGTACCGCTTCATTCTGTCTTCTATCACAAGCGCCAGTGACTGGGAATGGTTGATCACCTCCAGGAGTGTGAAGATGGACACGTTCTGAACATAGCAGTCATTCACACAACAGCATATTGTCATTAAGGACTTCAGCCACAGAGGGAAGCTGGAATCACAACCTCCTCAGAAGATAAGTAAGAAAAAAGGGTTTGAGTCATCTCAAGGTTATGGTCGTATTTTCAACAATCCTTCAATCCAGCTCACAGGACCATGAAACAAAAATGACTGTCCAAATCCAAGTGTCACGCTATCATCAAGTCCCTTATTTCAGAAGGGACTTCCTTCAAAGCATTTTTTTTCCCTATTTCTCCCAGCTAAAAGCTCTTGCAGGACCTCAGTAACCTAGCAGCTAGTGGATTTCTGCTTTCCAGTTTATGTTTATTCACAACTAGCTTTTACAGCTGCTGTGTTCCAGCTGTCTGTCAAAAATAACACCAGAGGTCTGCTAATCCAAGGATGCTCTTTCAGGTAGTGTTGAGGTGTATAATTTCAGAAACCATGAAGCACACAAGAAACTGATATGGCTAACATCAAGTCAAGCCATTTTTGCCTGTCCTGAGTGAATAATCAGATAAAGTTTTACTAAGGCTTAACTGGAAACAGTAATGAGTTCACACCTCTGGCTTCAAAACCCAATGTTTTAACGGCTTTACTACCACAATGAAATGACCACACTTCTTTCTCCACATCAGACAACTTCTGTATCACATTCAGCCCAGACCTTCATTATCAGAGGTTCTCTCCCTTTGGCTTTAAGCCTTACTGTATCCTCCACAGTATGCAATTGAAAAGAATTTTGAAAATAAGCTTCTATAGTCCTAGGATGATATTCCAAAGAAACACAAGTATGAAAGCAAGCCTTCTAAGTTCAGCTACATTGCTGACCACATGGAAGTCACTGCAAATATGTAAAAGTGTACACATCAAGCAGACAGCTCACCCATGTAAATGATGGGCATATCATCACTTTGCTAAAGACAACAGCAGAAATGTGTAGCAAGGTGAGGAAGAGAACCCAATTTTCCAGTTTCCCATGTCTCCATTCACTACAAATCTATCTGTTCAAGTAGCCTTCAGGCCAAGAACTGCTCCTGCTAAAGCTAATAAACTTGAATTCCCAGAACAGGCCCTCCAATTATACAGGTTTATTCTTATATGTTAGCCTACATCAAACTTCTTTGAATTCTGAGGGTTTGGGAAGGAGTTGGTTTTTTGTTTCTGTTTTGGTTTAGTTTAGAGCTCCATTTTCTACATTAACCCATCTTCCCTAACACATCCTTACTTCTTTGGGGCGGGGCAGGGCACAGACAGAGGATGGGGTGGGATGACACACACATGCGGGGGGGTGGATTTCCTGAAAATCCTGAACCATGTCATACGCCTTTACAGGTCAGAAGGTCTTTCCACCTTTTCATCCCTTCAGCTACAAGTTTTGTAGTGAAAGCTTTCAAAAAAAAAAAAAAAAATTAATAGCTTGATAAAAAATTTCCCTCAGCTGCAAGACACAAAACACATGCTAATGTGGGTCTTTAATTCATGTGCAGCTTGCCTTCAGCCCTATCAAAAGGCATTACTACAGGCCCTGGTCACGTGTCTTGCAAAGAGTCAAGCTCACACTGCTATTTGTGCTATAAATACTCAAATTGCCCAGTAGAGAAATCTTTTCTTACCGGGAACCTGAAACAGAGAGAGATACAACTGTTCCATCTCCTCTTCTGAAAGATAGACTGGGAATGTGGTGCAATCTAACAGAAGGTGACAAGCTGCAGCAAAAGCTTCCTTGCAGTCATCTCTAAGGGGTCCCAAGACAAGCATCACTTCTTCTAAGTCCCACTCTTCTTCCTCCTTTTCCTTCTTATTACCAGAGTTGTGGTCAGAAGGAAGGGGATTAGAACTCTTGTTCTTGAATGGTGACCCGCGAACCGAGAACAAGTCTGAAAGCATTTGTTTAAACTGAGGTACAGTAATTTGCTTTGCATCCCATGGGCTCTTTTTCTTGCTAGTACTTTCAGGTAACCTGTAGCCATTCTCTTTTTTCTCTTTCCCACTCAGATTCATTGCTGAGATGCTTTCGTTACTTGTTTCTTGAAATTGCACCCCAAAAATGTATTTACTGGAAAACTTGGCAACCAGCTCTTGGATGCAATACAAAGTCTTCTGAATGCTCCCCCCTTTCTTCCAGACATCATCTCTCTCAAGGGTCACAGTTGGCACCCCCAAGTGCTGAGAGAGCTCTGGGGAGGAAGCACTTAGACCAATGCCACTGTCTTCTGACTTCAGGGGAGGGAATGGCGTCTCATCCTCTTCCTGCAGCACAGACTTAGTCTCCAAGGTTATGTCCACATTTTCCCTTTTCACTGGGCTCTAAAACAGAAACTTTAATGTGGTTAACACGGCACTGCGTAATCACTGTAAACTGTGTAGAACTGTGGCGGGCACCGGGGAACAGCAATGACGGAAAACAACCCCCTAGTATTTGCACTTTTCAGATACAGGTTACTTTTACAAAATTAGGACACAGTTATTTGTAAGCATTTAAGAGGCATTTAAAACCTTAGAAATGTTTGTATAATCCTCACATTTTGACCCATCAAACACCAACAGTTCCATAGCTACGGATACTTAGCAAATGGAAATGTTTCCTTAAAAATCAATTCACCACTGGAACGGTATTACTTACGCTGGATTATTCCTGGTCAAATACATATATTTGTTCTACTGCAAAACTTTGCCAGGTTGTGCTTGTGTGACCGCTTTATGCCATCTATTCTTCATTCCCTGTCACGGTCTTGTGCACACAAATAATACCACATTGTGTTAAACTAAAATATTAATTGAAAGCCTTGCAGATTGAACCAGATGTAAAGCTGGGCTTGATCTGGCAACTCAAATCTTTAGCAACTGCATGATCCTGGGTGCCTTTTCAAAACCACTACGATCTCGTTCTTTACAAGAGGTGGGATTATAGCCCCAGTTTCAGACAAGACTATATGCCTTCCCTGTCACAAATAGCAAGTCAGAACTGAATACCCAGTAGGAGTAACAGGGCATCAGTTGGCTCTGGAAGGGTCCAAAGAAAATAAGCTTCAGAAAATCTTTATTGCTGCGGTTATCATCTAGGTTTAAGTTAGGAGAATTAACATTTTTAAATGTTACATCAATAACCATTTTAAACACCTATGAGTAGTTGAAAACCACCTACCCCATTTCCACTTCCTGTCTCAATGTCCAAATAGGAAGGGGGCATTTGCACTTTGCTGAGCACCTTAAAACATGTCTTCAAGGCATGAGTGAGTTCGGGTAAACCTAATACTTCCATATTTTCTAGGAGAGACTGCACCATATAACTGAGCATCTGTGGAAGATACTGAGTCTGCACTTCAGAGTAGAGTTCCTAAAATAAATAAGCATTGTTTACAATAGTTATCACATATTATTATTTGGCTGTCTAGCAACACTGATCAATGATTGATAAAATCAGTTCATGAGTGGTTAAGCTTTACAAACATGCTTCAGTCTATTCCCTCCTTCTTCGTTTTACGTAATGAATGCTGAATCATACCTTAAAAATCTTACAGTAGTCAGCCAGCTACTAGGAGACCAAAAAGTCCCAGGAAATTATTTAGCCAAGAAGCAAAATATACACTTTTTCATTCCTTTGATAGAATCGCCATATTTTAAAAAGCAAACAATTTTTATTTTGCTCGGCAATAGCTCAGTTAGCCATATATACACCAGCACATAAAACTATACTTTGCAGGACATAGCATGCATATGCACACGTACTGTCAATTTGCCTGTTTTCATTTTAGGTAATCACAATATCAATTATTTAGTTTTCACTTACTAACTTATTTTAACTTCAGGTTGCCTTACCAAAGGAATCACATCCAGAAGAAACACCAATAGTGTGCAGAGCTCTGAAATTGTAGGAGGAGTGCTAATATTTTCAAGGGGATATTTCATCTGTGTGGATTTGTTTCTGGATTGAGAGAAACGTTATTTCATAAGCTTTTTTCCTACCAAAATTCTGGTCACAGTGAAAAAGCTTTATCAAAACCAGCACTAAATACTGAATAGCTGGGCTTTCTGAAGGAAAGTAAAATGGGACATCTAATACAGCAAGATAAAACATTCTGTCAAAGCCATCTAAAACTGTAGCAATTTTCATCTTGAATGTCTATACATGATCTTACTACTTAAAATATAATCTTCTCTCTTACATTTAGAAAGAGAGAAAAAAGATAGAGATCTTTATTTTTCTTAAAAAAAACCCACTTGTTCTTCCACGGAAAACCTCTCCACCTCCCCTCCCAAACCTTTTCCACCTTCAGCTGTGATTTTCAAAGTAATTTCTCTTGTCCTCAGGCTGCTAGTTTCTACCTAATTGTTCACCTGTTTGCATTCTTGAATTATTTTAGGGTGCAACTTGTACATCTGTCTGATTCTATCATGTATTACACCCCTTCCAAAATTTAAATGCTTCAGTAAACTTTATTATCTTATACAGATAGTTCTTAAGTGATATTTTTAAGAGGAGCACTATTGTTTGACAACATAAACACCTGAAACAATCTTCAAAACATTTGGTCATATAATCCCAAAGGAAATCCGTGCTTAAGGACGTGATCAACAAATTCACTGTTTTAACAATTTCCGAAGCATTTTTGTTCTCTTTGATTGCACTGTATGAAAGGGAAGAAAAAGAAAAAAAGAAAAAGAAAAAAAGAAGATGACACAGGTGACAGTGACAATTGTAAGAACATGCACATCACAGTATTAGATTATGCATTCTAAAAATCTCCCTCCCCCTTTCTCTACAAGCTAAAAGACATTGATTGTTTTAAACCAAGGATTAAGTAATTCTGGAATAGTTAGTTTGAGCATCTTTCTCTGAGATGAAAAAAATCAAACTTTGAAATTCAGAAAGCTGAGAGTTCTGTCACCAGACTGATTCTTGGCCAATGTAATTGGATTTAATCAACACCAATCATATGCAAGGTATTTCATTTTCTTCTCTGCTAATCAAAGAGAAATCAAGGGTGTGTGGGGAATAAAGGGAAGTCATAGAAAATTCTGGTCTTCTATACAGAAAGACACTTTGTTAAAAAACTAAACTTCCTTAAATTGGTTATGTTTTAATAAGCTAGGTTAATATAAATGATACAGTTTCAGTGCATAGTTGAAAACTTGTAGTTTTACCTTGCAAGTACATTGCCACTTTGATTGTAGCTAAGTTTGAGATCAGAACCAAGTGCATCTTTGCAGTAGGAATAGAAGGCTCTAATAACTTCAAGGAACAGATCCCCAACAACCTGTGGCCCTACAATTGAAGGAAAAAAGAATCCAGTAGTTGCACTAAAGTGACTGCTGGGCAGCCCAGTTACAAACACGTGTAGAGTTTAATCAGAGGTAGCTAGAACGGAAAACAAACGATCACCCAAGTAGGAAGACAATGCTTACGTGGCTTTTTAAAATGTTATATTTTCCAGTTAAAATGAAATTAAGTTAAATATGCAGTTCAATATTTGGGGGTTGTTTGTTTGTTTTAATTGTAGTTAAATACCACCTGTTGTTCATTTTAGGAACTTTAAAGAGTAATACTTGGAAAGCCATAACACTGGTTCTACATTACATTTAAGTCACTTCTGTAAAGCACCTACACGGCAATAATTTTTAACACCTACACTGCAATCATTTTTAAGTGGGCATAATCATAACACTGCAGTTCATGTGCCAAACATAATCACCATGTCTATAGCCATGAGGAAAACAAGCAGATTTCCCAATACACATTTAACATAGTAGCCTTGATTAAATTTTGAGGGACAGAAGCTCGAAAAGTCAGCAAATGGAAAAGTTCAAATGCTTACGTATATTAAAAAAATGCATACTTTCTTCTTAGAATTGTTTATAAATATAAGTTAGGTATGTGCTGACAACAACACCCAATTTTCAAAGGTCAGCACTTCTTTGTTTTATCTCAGGAGCGAATAAATAAGTACAAGGAAAAAAGTTAATGGGATTAAGAGCAGCAGAAAAGGTCAAAGATTTTTATATTTTAGTTTGCTGCCTTTAAAAAAAGTTGCATTGCTAAATCCATTTCAAGAGGAAGTGAAAGTCATATTGGCTTAAGGCTCAAGAAGTTATATTTTATGTGCTGACTGGGACAGAAAGATTAAACTGAATAATGCAGTTCAGCTCAATAACCCTTAATGTAGGTCAGATTAATGCTGATTGTCAGCCAAATAAAACATACAATAGGCTAGTATCTGTCATCTACTTTCTAAATTGGATTAATCAAGACATTTATAATGTAACAACCTTAGTCAACTGTCCCTTCTTCAGCATTTTTGTAAGGAAATAAATATGCTTCATATAAGAGGCTTTAATCATGACAGATTTTTTTTTTTTTAAGAACAGCTACAAAACAACTAAAACCAGTGAAAGGTAACCACTGTCATATAAACAGACTAACAATGGCTTCTACTAAGGTAGTGTTAATTTCTTAGAACAAGCAATACAGAATCCTCATTTTTCGTTGCAGTGCTTTGATAGTTCTTTAGCAGGAAATGTGCTTAAAGAGGATAAGTTTACCAGAATACAGGAGCCTGCAAAACAGACTGCCACTTGGGGGTTTAGTCTCAGAGTTTTATTCTAAGTCTACAGGCTTGGTCAATGGTAACATCACTCCCCCACCCAGATTAACACCTAGAACAACACTCTGGGACACAGTCATTAAGACTCTATTAGCTTCTAACAAATACCAGTTAACCAGTCCATAGGCTTCTCACACCTGTCAGACTGACATAATATAATTTCAAAGATTTATCTGTACGTGCTTCTTACAGAATACTATTAAATCCTAAAAATCTTTCAAGTTAGTTTGGCTTTATTTTTTGATGCAGAAAGGAGAACTTGCCCTTTAAAATAAGAGCTAGCAGAGCCTCACCCTTCTGGTGCTGGCAACTTCATGTACACAACAGAATAGACATGTGACAGTAAGGGGAGGAAATCCTTCCCAGCTCAGTCACGAATTCTCGAACTATAGCCCTCACAGCAGCATCCGGCCAGCACAAGCTGTCAGTGCCACTGACAGATGCACCCCAACCTCTCCACACCCAGAGCAGGTTATTTCCAGCTGGAGCACCCGCAGGTGAGTGGCGCTGCCCACTTTGGCAGCAGTACTAGCACAGGCTAGCTGCCTGGGGCGTTACACCATCTGGAAAAGCAACACGGTCATGAGAGTCTGATGCAAGCATACAGGAAGGCGTGCAAGCACAGCCAAGCACTGGAAACAAACCTAGGTAAGAGTAGTAGCGGTGGTTTTCCAGACAAAAGCCGCTTTATAAGACAGAACAAAAAGAAGCCTGGCAGACTTTTAGAGAATAAGGTCCAAGGAACAAATTGGGCAGACTGCTGAGACTAGGGCAGAAGTGATTCTTTTTAACAGGCCCTCAGACGGCAGTTCTGAGCATGGAACAGCATTATCCTCACTTGGACATGTCCATGCAGCACAGTGGACCGCTCTGCAGAAAAGCCGGAGATATCCCAGAAAGGGTGCTTGCTCCAGAGCACCGCTCTGAACCCTGTCCGAGGCAAGGAACACAGCCCCCTGCACACTAATACTGCACACAGAATCAGAATCAGGAAGAATTCTGCAGGGTGTTGTCCTGAGTCCTACTGTCAAAAGCGATGAACACCAAATTTTGACAGTTGTTAGCAGTCCTAATGGAAGCGACATGCAGCATTACCTATTTCAGGTTTGTCAAGGAGACTGATCAGGATGCGGAAGGGTTTCAAATAAGCTTGATGCTGTTCCTCTGTATCAGACTCTGGGAATTTCTGATGTAAAATTTCAGTTAAACTCTAGTAAAAAGAAAACATCGAAAGGTTATATACAGAAGAGAGATTGACATTTGATTGAGATCTGAAGTGTTTCTAAATTTGATTTTGTTTAGTACCGACTACAGCTGAACTTCAGTTTTCCATACAAGGTAGACAAATCAATGACATCTCATCACCTGTACTCAAGAGCCAAACTTATTCAGAGAAGCGCTTTTAAACAATTCCGGTAGTTCATCAAAGATGCTACCCTTTGGTTTCATTAGATTCCATTTGTACTGTAAGCACATGCAATATTGTGATAAATACAGCACAGCAGGCAGTCAGATAGATGAAAATATAACCACAAAAGGATGCTATCTTTAGGGACAGAAAGCAAAGGACAAACCAAGCGGCAGAGTGAACAATTCTAGATGCGGCTTGTGCTAACATTTAAAAGGATCATAAATACATCTGAATATGATGAACACTGACCTCGACCAAAAGATCTTTAGAATATTTTCCAAAGAAATAAACAGCATGGTCTTCAGAAGTTGTTGAGTCTGGAGCAAAAGTACCACCTTTAATATCAGAGCCTGCAAGACAAACAGAGGCATCGGGACTAGAGCGAAACACCAGAGTACAGAGCACTGCACACCCCTCATGTATAAACACACTGAAATTACACTGCGTTTTTAACCTTTGTCATTTCAACACTTTGCTTGAAACTAGCTCACGTACTGCCCAAGGACAGCCCACATACCACAGTTTGAGGCATTCAGAAGTGCTATACTGAACATAAATCAAAATCAAGGCCAGATCTAGACAGGGGGTCAGCAAGGGCAGACTTCATGCAACTACATGGCTGCAGCCCTTGCCCTGTCACTTTAGGCTCCTCTTATGCTGCTGAAAGGAGGCAGATGGGGAGAAGCTATAGCTTTCTTATAGCCCCTCCTTGACAATTAAGCCCACACGGGAATTTGTAGGCTATTACTTCCAGAACAGCAAGGTTGAAACAGCACCCCACTCCTTTCAGTCCACTGAACGACTTCAGAATGAACTGCGGACGGGACCAGAAATAACTCATCAGATACCCTGTGATTCAGGACAGTGAAATGAATTCACCTCTGAAGAGACCTGTTTGCCACATGAATGCTTAATAAAGGCAACTAAACAACACTTTATTTTATCATCATTGTTAACTGCTGAAAAGTGCAGTACATTTTTAAGCAATGATTTTTTTCCTCTCTGAGGTAGTCAGAATATTGACTATCAGTGCACGTTGTACAGTACCTAGCAACCACGCGTATAATCTTCTGTTGAGCGACATGTCTCGCCTCAACAATGTCTGTGTAGCTGCTGACAGAACGTAGACTAAATCAGTCCTGCCCAACAGAATGGTGCTCTCGTTGCAGTCCTGGGGTAAAAAACAAAGATACTTTAGCCGTTTATGAACAAAATCAAATTGGTAATGAGTTGGGGCTTTTTTTAACGAGTGATATTATTGTTTCAAAAAATAAACGGACAACAAACCATCAACCACAAAATATTTTGTGTACTAAAAATCTCAAGAAAGGGAATCTCACACAAATGTGAGCATTTTCATACTTAAGGTACAGAGCTACAGTTAGGCTAAAAATACTAATTATAGTATTTTTTATTATTTATTATTTATTAAATAATAAATTAAATTTA